TTTGCAAGTAATGTTAAATTCCCTTCTAGCTACTTTCTGCATACGTCAGGATATTTATCCATGACATTTTCTCCAAGAAGTGACAAATTGCCGCATGTAGAGCTTAAGCTTAACTCTATACTAAATTTTTTAGAAATCCGCGCTTCTGATTAATAATGCCCAAAGATTTCCTAATGTAAGGAAACTCTTATAGCATAAGAGACGCAGCTACAACTTTAGAATTTTCGGTGTAGACAAGCTAAATCTAAGTCCGCTTTAACGTAGGTGCCGAAACCACTGAGCCCAGGGTTTTCCGTTATCAATTTAGTTGCACCGATAGTTATAGGTTATCCAGTGAGAAAATAAATGCAGAACATGGTTAGTTTGATGTTTCGAGAAAGGCCAAGCCAATGGAAGTCCGGCTTCAAAACCTCGCACTCTGGAGATCGTGCGAACCCTTCTTTGGCCTTCAAGTTGGGGACTGTTTAAATTTACTAATTAAAAACTAGAAAAGTTGAAACTTGAAACATTGAAGGAAAATAGCTGTTGTCCTAATCCCCTGTAACCTCATATAAGATGGAAGCGTGCTTTCTGATAATGGCGATTGTAGATATTTTCTACCCTACCTGCAGCTTCTTCTTCCGACACTGTTGTTTTCAAATTGTTCACTTTTAAGAATTGACTATGCTTCCCTATCATCCCCAAATTTAAAATGTGGCAGTACGTAATTGATAGTTAACATCCTGCTTTAAATGAATGGGATCGCACAATCGAAGAATTTACTTTCTTATAAGGCTACCGGGCACCTCAAACCGTCAACACCTAATGGATTTACGTGCATCTATTCATTGCAGCTCCGATATTGTCCACTACAGCAGATCCAAAAGTTCCAAGCTTAATTTAGAGGATTACTGATATCGTGCTGTATATGGCGCCAAAGATTTGATCAAAGCTGAATAGACTATATAGGCAAAAAATTTGAAGTTCAATTAGTAATGGCGCAAAGATTGATGTTGAGGGGAATTATATGTAAAAGGTTTTTGCCTATTGAATCAACACAGTGATTTTTTGATCAAAAGAGCAGTTTTAAACAAGTGAGTGATTGATCTGTGTGTGGATACTTGTTTTGATACACAATACGGAAGAATCAAGAGAGTACAAAGTTACGGACGAAAAAATAATATATCACAAAAAAGCTTTAGAAAAATCTTATTATTGTCATTTATGTTTCTTAAATAAATCCAAGACGACAAAATTCAACACCTAATGCAAAAATACATACCGTAGTCCTGCCCACCACAATCATCATTAGTGTACGAACACTTCCTTTGCTGTCTATATTCTCCATCTGCAACTTTGGGATGACCATGGTTGCCTCGACGGTGCGATTCACGAGAATCCCTTCAATATTTATCAATCACGGATCATAATATATTACTAGCAAGCTATAAATTCGAGATAGTTAAACTATAAAATGCTTTACTTTTCAAAAAATTCTACAAGTGTCATGAAAAAAAGTTCGCAGTATGTTATAGTGATCCGCGCTCAGAGGTTAGGTCTCTTTATTAAGAGTGTTTCTTTCCTGCTCCTATTCTGTCTTATGCACCCTTCCTTAGGTTTAATTGTCTCGACATTGTCCGCGAAGAGCAACGTTGGATAATTTTTGAAAGAAACTTGAGTATAACATCTACCTGGATAATCCCCAGCGAGATTGATCAAAATCCTTGTTCCGTTTCGGACTTGTGCAGCATCTTCCTTGATGGTGCGATTAAGAGCAGTTGCGTACATAATCACAAGGTTATATAGATGAGTGCAGTAGTCGGAAGCCTATATACGTAGATTTACTAGCTTCTAGTTTTTATTAGTGTTAGACTTTGAAACTATTGTAACAGAATTGTAATGGATTGTTATATAATACATAACTTTCATTATTATTTATTTTTTTCCAAATTTATGACCAGTGCTTGTACGATACTAACTCATTTTCTCTATTATTTTTTCCGGGCTGAAAAATGGAATGTCAACCCAAAAGATCATCAGCTTTATCGAACAATTTCCAACATGACGCAAAGTGTAAGTGTAACCTTCGTTGATCTAGATAATACAGAACGTCCTTGTCAGAAGGAGGCCTTATTTGGAATAAGAATCTTGAACACAGGAAAGATATCTTGAGAATGGCGAACATTGTACGTTGATTGACCAGCCAACATTATTTGCATTTGTTTTCAAGCAAATTTTCAAAATCGCGGTAATTTATGAGAAGCCCGGTGTCGCAAGTGTTGTCAACGCGGCTTGAATAAGTAGGGAATATGATGAACGAGCTCGTGTAGAGCACCAAATGAGCTTCTAAACACGGGATAATATTTGGCCAAGTATAATGAATGTGAAGAAGAGAGCATTAGAATATAAGAAGGGGTTTGAGTATTCGTTTCAAGACTTCTGCCAATTGAAAATATGCGTTACCCTGCAAAGACAGTTCTACGATAAATTTGTGATATAATATGTAGCACTGTTACCTTGGGCGACTTAAGAAAACATCGTGCTTTATGGATGCAAGCATTATCAAGCGATGCATTATTTTGCTTTACAACTTACATAAAAAGATGGGTATATTTAAGCGATGTCTTTCAATGTCGCACTGCACTATCACCTTAAGTTTATACACGCCAAATGCTCTTGAATGGTTTGAGAAAAAGACTGCTTGCTTACCTAAAACCACAAATAAAA